CACAACTTTGACAAGGCTCATTCTTATCAGAGACAATTAGTTTGAAGCTGCCTTTTAACCGGTGAAGGAACTGGATTCATAAAGAATCATTGAAAGATTTTGCGGTGACCTCCGTTTTGCGTTGGCTTCCTCGGAACAAGGTTTGGGTCGGAACAGGAAGTAACTCATGACAGGTTTTCACACTGACGACCGATGTAGCCTCCTGGGGGTCACGTAACAGTGAATCAGATCCTTGGCAACTGGTTCTTATCGATGACGGCCGCAGTGACCTTCTGACAAGCGAAGTCAGGAGGGAAACCAGATTCGCTTAACAACCGTGCTCCCCGCTTAACAACCGCACGTGATTCACTTGACAACGGTGGCAAGGAAGGTCATAGAGTGGAGCAACACTGACGCAACAGCTGTCTTGCTCAGCGATGGAAGTGTGGGGCTCACTTGTGGTCGTAAGTCGAAGACTACCTGTACTGTCATCCTTCAAGGCACCTTTGAATTCTTCCTAAGTTATCCTGGGAGAGTTTAACCCTGTTGTTCTGGCCTGTCGGCCGCCCGAACCCTCCAGCGGCCGAATCAGAGGATATCATGCCCCTGTTGGAATCTGATTCCGAGGACGAAGGTGAGCAGCCGACAGGGACTGGGAATGTGGCTCCAGTGGCTGTGGAGGAAACTGGGGAAGGGCAAAGTCTGGCTGATCAGAGCAGGGGAGAGGTAGAGCAAGGGAGAGGGAGTTCAGAAGAAGACCCAGGGCCACCCTCTCTTCATCCTAGGGCATGCAGAGAGGAACAGAAAAGGGAGCAATGTGGGTTGTGTGGCTTACGGAGGAGGAACGGGCCCTGATTCCCTTCATCAGCTGCAGCTGGGAAAACAGGATTTTAAAAGGGCGTTTGCGCACAGCACCTTGCTGGAAGCAAAGGGTGCATTATCTTTGTTTGTCAAGTCTTATCTGGCTTCTGGCATCCTCTCAATTGAGTGTGTTTCATTATCTTTTGGAAGTCTGCAATTCTTTATCCTGCCCCCTCTCGTTAATTGCTGCAGCGTGGTTTGTGTTGGTTTTTATCTATAATCTATATGTACTTCGGGTTCGGATGGAATTTCTTCCCTTTAAAAACTATTCTTGGGAGAGTTTTTTTTCTCCAGCCGGTGATAGCTGGACACTGGGGGTCAAGTTGGAGGAATTCAAGGCACTTTACCTACTTTTGTGACTTTTGCGCCACACCCTGGATCATCACAGAGGAGGAGGAGGAGGCGTGGGAGTCAGGGTCAGCATCAGGGCAACCTGGGAGCTCCGAGGGGGAAGAGGGAAAGGAGCTGGCAGAGAAAGAGAGACAGAGGTGGAGCTTGGGCTGTCCGTCCGCCCTCAGATGGAGAGTCAACAGCTCTCAGGTCTGGAGGTGGCTGATGAAGAAGAGGAGGAACACCTGGGTCCAGTGCCTGACGTGTAGATGTGCAGAAGGGAGAGGAGAGGAGAGCAGTGGAAATCTATGGGCCGGTCCTTGGACAAAAGAACCATTGCTGCTTATGAAACCCCACCCTAGCTCTGGGGATAAAAGGCAGGAGGCAGAGATGATGTGGCAGATGACTATTTATTTTCCAATAAAATGGACTTGTCAGCCCAAGAGTGAAACTTTTTGTCGTGGCTGCTGGCCCTCCTGGGTCAGAACCTGTATGTAACAGTGGACTGAGATTGAGGGCACTGCGTTACAAGGACTAGAGATAAACCACCATTGCTCGGCCTGGCACACAAGCCAGTTTTTCTCAACCTTAGCGACTTTGAGATCGGTGGACTTCAACTCCCAGAGTTCTCTGGCTGGGGAATCCTGGGAGTTGAGGTCCACCCATCTCAAAGTTCCTAACGTTGCGAAACGCAGCTATAGTTCCAACACATCTATAAATGTCTATGGATTCTGTATCCTTCTCTCTGACTTGATTAGTACACCTGTATGTGTGTTTGTGTCCTGCAGAAAAATGTGTGCATATATCCTGTTGCAGATAAAGTACAACCTACCCCAAAAGTAAGTCCTAGCTTGATTTTTTTTACACGTATGCCCAAAATAAGCCCTACCTCCAAAGTAAGCCCTAATTAAGATCCTGCCCACCCCAGAGTGAACAGGTAAAAATTAAGCTAGGGTTGGGATTAGGGGGGGTGAAGCTGCCCTACTACTTACCTTTGGACAGGTGTAGCCAGGCCTCGCACACCTTGACACCTGCCTTGCCAGGCCATTTTTTTCTGCCACCAGCAAGGCTGGCAAGGCTTTCCTGAAGGCCTCTGTAACTGAGAACAAAGCTCTGGATCGATCCAGAGCTCTGTTATTGGTTGCAGAGGCCTTCAGGAAAGCCTTGAAAGAAGTTCCTGAGGCCCTTGACAGCGAAAAGGAGGCCGGGATGACGCACACAGGTGAGGTTAGTCAGTGGATGTCATCTTCTGAAAATAAGACCTGGTGCCTTTGGGGGCGGGGGGGGCAAAAAATATAAGACAGGGTCTTATTTTCGGGGAAACATGGTGTACCCACATGTGGGCGTAGGTGGGATCAATCCCAATGGTGAATGATATTTTGTATGGAATCAATCATCCATCAGTCAACCAAACCCCCAACCAAACCCCCATTAATCAAGTCCAAAATTAAAATAAATAAATAAACAAGAAAGAAAGAAAGAAAGAAAGAAAGAAAGAAAGAAAGAAAGAAAG